TATCTTAGTGATTTGTTATCAGGTCTTTCATGTGATTCCAAATCTTGTCCCTTTGTGTTGAGATTCTTTACTCAGTTGACAACTTTGGACTTTTATGTTTAATTTGTTAAAGTATGAAAGTTTTATTTAAAAAATATTCTCTCTTCAAGAATTGGAAGCATAATGGTATATAAGCAGCAGCATCTAAGTAACATCCAAAATTGATAACTCCACAGGTAATCAATCTTTATCCTTGGACTTAGCTCAGGCACTCCAACTCTTTCTGATCAGATGAGTTTCTGATGAGTTTCTGATTAATCCTGTCTCTTAGGGCATGAAAATGAAATACATAATCTGTGTTTTATCAGCTCATTGGTGCAAAATTCAACACAGGACTCTTCTCTCTTTCCAAATCCTACCTTCTCTCACTAGTGGTTTTCTGAGAATTTAAATAAGACCTATTATTTCATTTTCCACCAGCCCTGCTCATGCATGGACGCCTCCTGTGAGTCAGACTTCTTTTCCCCCTAATCTTTTTTCTAATAGCTCCATGTCATTGCTCCCATCTTCAGTCAGTTTGTCCAGAAAAGTCCCCTGCAGTCCCAGCCCCACTTATCCTCTTGGAAAGTCTCTATACAGTTTTAGGACCTCAGCTAAAGGCTCATATGTAAGCCTGATACTAAGTGAGTTGATTGATAGAGAGGAGGGCCACATGGAGTTCTTAAATATGATAAGTCTGACATCCCAGATAAACAGAAGCTTGACATGGCTTAACAATTTATGCAGGTGATTTCATTGCTTCTGACATTTCTATCATACTGTACATATAATTTATTATTTTTTTTTCCTCTGAGAAGTTAGAGGACACGTTTCCTGAGCCCTGGGGACTCAGACTGCTGTTCCCTTCAGTGGAGCATTCTCTTGCTTCTTGGGCAAGTTCCCAGCCTCCGCTGGGCTTGTATAGTGCTGTTATGTGTCTTTCTTAAAATAATTGCCTGTTGTCCTGACCGTTCTCCCTCTACACATTTTTTTGGCCTATTCTGCTGCAAGTTCAGTCAGAGAACCCTTGGGGTCTTATTCATTTTTCTTTCTTTTTCTTTATTTTTACCCCCAGTGATGCCTTATATATAAAATGTGCTTGATAAAAGTTTAGCATTGTTAGGCCTCTCTTTATAGAAATTATACTTGTAGCATGCTACAATTGAGAAATACAAATTTTACTTTATAGCCAATAGTCTGTCAATCACACAGTACATATATATTATAAAAAAGTAGAAAATATTGTTAAATAAAAGGAATAAAAGGAAAATGTTCTGTAGTTAACCCTTCTCAGAAGTTGCCACTGTTAATATTTGGGCATATCTTCTTCCAGAATTTGAAGAAGATGGTGAAGAAAAACACTTACTGAGTTTTTATTGAGTCCTCACTGTGTGCCAGGCACTGTGCTAAGCACTGCATGTGGCAGTTCTCACACCATCCACATGCTCACACTGTGAGAAGGCAACTCCTATTTTCTCCATTTCAGAATGGGAGACACTGAGGTTTAGGGAGGTTAAACAACTTACTCAGGGTCACGTGACTGACAAGTAGCTTAGCCTGGATTTGAACCCACACAATGTGAGCCCAAACATGTATATAAGTCGACAGAGCATGTTGACGAAAGTGCATATATCCAGAGCCAAACGCACTGGGCGAAAACCCCAGCTCCTCACTAACAAGCTGTGTGACTATAGGCAAGCTAATTAGTCTTTTTGTGCCTCAATCCCTATTCCTTTATCTTTAAAAAACTCTGCACAGAATTGTAAAGAGGATAAGATGAAATAATTTATATGAAGTACTTAGAACAGTGCCCACCTATATATAGTAAAATCTGAATTGTTAGCTTTATAATACTATATTCATTGAATAACAGTCACCATACTGTAATCTTCTTTGTAAACTTTTTATTTATTGTGAGCATCCTTTTAGTTCTAAATATACTTGTACCACATGATTTATAGGACCATACAATAATCTAGTTCTTTGACTGCACCATAATTTACATAACAAATTTCCTGTTTCTCCAGGATGTGGGCATCACAAGATGTGGATGGTTGCAAGAACTGTGGCAAGGCTAACGTAAGGTAGATCCTCAATAGAGATTTGTTGACTGATTGAATGAATGCATATTGTTGAAGTTATTTCCAGTTTTTCACGATTAACCATGTTTTTTTTTTTAATTCTTTTTTTTTCCATTTATTTTTATTCATTGGAGGATAATTACTATTAACCATGTTTTTAAGAATTCTTTTATTTGCAGGAGATTTTGAAGTTTAAAAATTTCACTGTGCTGTAATACATCACCTTCTAATCATTGTTTAAGAACCAAAATGTAACTCTTACACTGATGTAAAGACCCATTGGAAAAAAAAAAAACAAAAAAACCCATTGAGTCTAAGAGTACCCATTTGGTCCAAGAGAAAAAAATACCTAAGCTAAAATAAAGGTACATGGTTACATTTAAAATAATAACTTTAAAGTGTCTCTTTCATGAAACTGTTTTCAAAGAGTATTTTACTATGTGGGTAAATTTAACAAAAATTGCTCCAATTAACTCCAAGTACAGTGACACACACAATGCTTTGATTACACATGTGAAACTCATTTAGTCAAGAGACTTCCAGTAGGAAAAAATGCAACTTTGTGGGAAAAAAAAAACCCCATTCCAATAATGATAGAGTAGTTTCCCAAGATCTAATCACATGCACATTTAGAAGAAAGCATTTTAGATTCTTTGTCACATCAACGTCTGGTGACTTTCTAACTTTTCCCAAACAGCTTCACTCTAGCTTCGGAATTCCATCTTGTGTTACACAGATCTGTGAAGTTGCCTATGGAGACTTAGGAAACTTGGCACATTTTCAGTTTCGCTTGAAAAATGTGCTACTATTCTTCAATCCACTGACCTATGGAGGGAAGTAGTGATGAATGGAGAGGCAAGATTGTTCTGATGTAGTAAACAACTCAGAAAATGCCTTTAAGGAGATGATGAGACTGGCCAACAGAACGTATTGACCAGAAGGAAGCTAAATAGTTGATGACTAGCTTGAGGAACAGCGGTAGCAAAAGATTATTCCAGAAAGGGAGGAAATCTAGAATCCACCCAAGGATATCCTTTTTTTTTTCAGTTGAGACTGTGTCACTTCTAGATAGATTTTGTTTTTGGGCCTTGAACTGAACTGTAAACCATATCGTCCAGCTTGTTTGGAGGGATAAGCATTGAAGTTGCTTCAGACTTGACTGTCAGTTTCATTTTCATTTCAGTTTTGTTCAGTGTGAAAATGATAGTAGCCGGCTACCTGCAACATTAGTTACATCCCTGGGAGCCTAGACTGAAAGTAGTAGGAGACTGCAGATCTGTGAGTGACGGTGGAACAGTTCACTAGGCATCATAAAAGGAAAGAATTTTTGGATAGTTTGGCCTAAACTCCACTCACAGCCTAACAATAGGAGTATGATGTAAAAATAATCCTCCTAGGGTTACCTTTCCCTTATGTTCTTCTATTTTTATCTGCCTCTCAGTTTTTGTTTCTCCTTTTCTCTACTTTTGATTCTTCCTTGTCTAATCTCCTGCCCCCCCCCCTTTTAATTGCTTTTTTCTTTTTTTCTTCCTTTTTTTCCCCCTGCCTCCACTGCTACCTGCCTTTTCTTCTCTCTCCCTGTTACCCTTTCTTCTCCAGGCCTCTCAGGTTTTAAACTGCTGACTTCTAAACTTCATGGAGCTGAAGTATTATTTTGATGGCAATTGTGAAAAAATTTTACTGCTTGTAATTTAAAAATAGTTTGAGGACAGTATTTATTTTTCCAAGGAAAAACTTGGGCTCCACTTTTTCTGATTTTAGTTTTATTACCTAATATAAAGCACTTCAGTAAGGTCTGGCACAGGAAAAGTACTACATTAAATCTTAGTGATTAGTTTTCCCTTGATTCAGTTTTTCCCTCTGGAACAGTCAACCTTGAAAGAAAAAAGATTTCCTGTTTTCCCTAAACAATTCAAGATGGCCAGTTGCTGTTGTCCTTACTGATGCTCTTAAGGATGGAATGTTCACCCTTTTTCCAGCCCCCTGTTTTAGTAGATCATTATTAAATTGTCTACCCAAACTTTATTTCTGTGTAATTTAAGCTCACTTAGCAGAAAGAACAAATAAACGATGCTTCCTTGAGGTAAGAGTTCAAATTCTAGGAAATGCCTCTTAGAACGTTTTATAGCATAGTCCATGGCCAGAACATGGGCTTTGGGGCTCAGGTCCACGAGCAAAGCATTTACACTGTTGCAGCATCTGATTCTTCATCTGTCAGGAAAGATTCCAAGGATTGTTGTGAAAATTAAAGAAATTCAAGCTGGCAGAACACCTAGAGCCCGTGTTTGGTGAGAGCCTGTTAAATGGCAGCATAAACCTCTGGAGCTGCTATTGTGCAATATTCTTCTCATGGAAATGCTACTAATTCTCCCTCCTACCTCTCCATGATCTGTAAATAATGAGTGTGGTTTGGGAGTATTAAAAAAGAGAGATCAGAGATCACTAGATGTGGACAGAGAGGGAGAAACAGGGACAGCCTATCGGTCTTTGTACCTTGTGCCCAAGGGCACAGAGACTGCCTCTTTGGCAGCTGAGTGCCTAAACCTGGGAACTTCCCAATGTGGAGCTAGGAGAAGAGCTAGTAGCTAGGAGAAGTAGTAACTCACAAGTATCTGGTTGGTGCAGAAACCAAGCAAATGTGATAAAGGTCTCTCTTTCAAGTGTAAGAGTTATACAAGACAGTGTCACGTGTGTGTGTGTATGAGAGAGAGAGAGATGGAGAGATGGAGAGACTAATGGAACTAAACCCTTCTCATAGCAATACTCGAAGTCCCCCTAGAACTTGAACAATTTCATGTACAGTTTCTTGGTACTTTCCCCAAATTAACCTAAAAATGCTGAAACCAAAACTGATCCAGTCCAGAAATGTTTTTATGAAAATTCACATTGGATGCACTCTTAAGGTTTCAAAGGTTCTTACTTGCAGGTCATTGTTTACTGATGTGCTGTCTGTGGTCATCTGTGAGCTGGACACCGGCCATTTAATTGTAACATCCTTAGTAGATAAAGTGATCCAGCTTGCAAGCAGTTTACTTTCTGACAAAATAGATAAAAATGAATTCAAAATTTTCTCTACAATGACATCTCTTTGACTTGCTTTCATTATGCCTTTCTGGATGAGGATAAAGAGGGTGGCAAGATGACTGGCAGGTGGAATCTTCTTTGACCCAAGATGTAAACATCATTGGTCATGGCTGTTGTGAGTAGTTATATAGAGGTAAACCTTGCAGAAAATGGGGTGTGTTGAATCACTACTGATTCTGAAGTGCAACCATAATGCTTTAGTAATTCAATATTTTGCTTGCTCAAATTCATCTTTCTCAGGTATGCCTATAGACAGTACCTTGCTGATGAGTGACAGTCTGAGAAAATCCGTCTCTTGGAGAAGCTGTATATGGAGGTGTAAGATGTTTCTAGTGCTATTAGGAGAGAGATGAAAATTGGAAGCAAGAGGAGAACAGGTTAAATCTGTGGGCAGCTAGTATTTAAGAAGAAGGAAGGACAGACACCTTTCCTCCTGGGTGACCATAGCAGAGATCCTGTGAACGAGGACACTTATTTCTCAGAATCTGAAATCATATAAAAATCTCTGAGGCTGTGGGACTCTTCTCAGGCCACAGACCTCAAAGATGTGGCAAGATAGGCTGGGAGGCATCTGAGTCTATCCAACAGAGTTTCCTTTTCCCTACAGTTTCAGGAGTCAAAGAATGATTGGGTAAGAGAATGGAATAATAGGAGGAAATAATGGGAGAGACAGACTTTTGTAGGCATCCTATACCCCTACGCATCTTGATGGGCATGCCAAGAACACAAGGCAACATCACTTTACACCCAGACCGTTGCTCAGGATGGTGCTCACTCAAGGAGTGAGCAAGCTTGAGGCATGAAGTCAAGTCTCCCTTTGGGACAACACAGACTTGGTTATGCTTCCTATGACACGGTGAGCTCCCAGAGCTTTGTGTTTCTCTCTCGTAGAGGAGTGCCTCCCACCCACTGTGTGTGGGCATCTGTCTGGACCTACATGTAGCCTCTACTTGAAGGCCAAGCGGAGCTGATAGAAACATACTAATGCTCACAGTGCTTACTGTGTCATGAGTCCCACATCTGTAACCAGACATCTCATGTCTTCTGCTAGCATCCATGAAAATGGTAGCAGGGTAACAAGCTAAAATCAAATCCCAGACATAACAGGAAAGGAATTCAAAAGTTTATTGAAATGTCTCAAAAAGAACTTGAACCTTCATGGAAGCACTTTTTTTTCCCCTCTGTCTTTCATAAAGTTGCTCACTCATCCTTAAAAACCATCAGTAAACTCTGAGGTTTTGGCAAAGCTGTAGAATTCATGGACTCTTTAAATTTGACCTCAAGAGTCACTGAACTTCCTGAATTCTTCCTTCAGCACAAGAAAGAGGCCATGAGGGCACTGATGGTGTGTGTTTGATAGCGAGCAACTGCGGTCTTGGAGAGGTCAGCCAGCCATTCTTGCCCTAAGGCTATATACTTAAGGCAGTCCAATTTTCAAACATCTCCAGAGATTAAGTGAATTTAGCCATCTTCCCTCAGGAGCCCATTGTAACATTTCACCTTTTCCCTTTTAGGATGTTTTTTTGCTTCATAGTTTAAATAGAACGAAAAGGCTTATCATGAAAGTCTTTCCTTCTGTGGACTTCCATGGATATTTAGAAAACTGATCAGAGAGGGAAAAACAAAGCATCTTGAAGTTCATTGTCATTTTCTTTTCTCAAGGTTGGCTGAATGGTGTTCCAATTTTATTTAAAAATCTTTCTCTATGAATATCATTCCCGTAACTGTTCTCTAATGATTTCTCCAAGGAAAATAGGAAATAAATTCCACTTATATTGTCTCAAGATTGTCTTTCCACCCTGATAATCCTTGCATATACTTTTCTTGGTCTGCCAGAGCACCATCTACTAGGAATTGTATTAAGTGGATCCTTTAATTGGGACACTGGAATAATTAAGTTCTAAGACCACTTCCAATATAAGGTTTATATTATTTGGTGAATCCTATATCCCTAGTTTATGCACATCTGTGTAAAGTAGCACCCACTCAATTCATTATTGCTTGAGATAGCATGAAAAATTGTCGTTATTTGTCCAACAGAGCATATGTTTCCAAGGATGCATTCAACAAGAGACATCATCATTTTTTTTTTGAGACATCATCCTTTCTATATGCTTCCTTATAAATATGTTTTGTCCTTGTATTTCAATTTTTAGTAGGCTCATTACTGTTGATATTGATCAGTATCTTACAATTAAAAATCAATCTCTGTTTTAAAAGTTAAATGGAGATATAAATAATATCCCATGTGCTAACTTTCCTTCATAGTCTGATAGAGAAATATTGAAACTGTATCATTTTTTTCCTCCTTTTCCCTTGAATTTTTCAAGTTCACCCAAAAGCAGGTTATTGTTCTCCTTGACTTCTTCGGCCATTCACTTATCATTCACCACATGTTTATTTGGGCCTTACCTTGTGCAGGTAGCTGAGATTTAATAATTTAATTGAGTGTGGTAATTTAGTATGTAGCTGTTTGCATGAATTCTTTATTTTTTTTCCTGGTTAATTCATTAGTGACATTTCTCTGGCATGGGATTTCCTCTATTAGGCGTGGAATTAACATGAGTGGGGAAGGTTGTGCAAAGGCAGTCTTGAAGAAGATCCTGAGAAGTCATTAAAATTCTGCTTGATTAGGTACTTAGAAGAATTTTATTTCTGCTCTTAGAAGTATTACTTTGCCTGTTAAAATAATCAACCATTTTAAGTGGTGTTGCTATTAGTACACTGACCTTTAAAGCAATATATTCTGCCTGTGAATTTAGTCAAATTTTAATAGTTTAAATAAAGTCAGAAAAAATATGTTGTAGAGTAACTTTTGTTGATATAAAAATGTTTATAAAATGATAAAAATCATCACTTGATGATTTAAATTTTTTTCATTTTACTCATAGTCATTTTCCAATTTTTCTATTATTAATACCTGTATAAGTGATGTGGGACCTGTTGTCCAGAGTTGTATTTTTCAATTGTTCAAAGGGTCAGTAAAACCCATTAGGGCTTATGGTGATCTTGCCATATTGTGGAAAACAGTACCATACTGTTTTGATTACTGTAGCTTTGTAGTATAATCTGAAGTCAGAGAGCCTGAGTCCTCCACCTCTGTTTTTCCTTTTCAGCACTGCTTTGGCTATTCAGGGTCTTTTGTGTTTCCATACATATTAAAAATTTTTTATTTCTCGTTCTGGGAAAATGCCACTGGTAATCTGATAAGAGATTGCATTGAATCTATAATTGCCTCAGTCCACATCCTCATTTAAAATCTGTCCAATGCTTCATATAGAAGGATTTTAGAGACTAACAATGGATTTTCTTAACCTTAATTAAGAGATGACTTCCCAGCTGCATCCTGAATATAGTTTCCTTACCTGGAACAAATTGATCCTGTCTTGGCTACTGGAGTTAACAATTGAATTGGCGTTTCTCTCCAGTATTCAATTAGTAGAAAATATCAGGAAACTTTCATTTCCAACTGGAACAAGAATAAACTTTGGCTAAATTGCCTCTGATAATACCAACATCATGACTTCATGCCACCCCATGGTCGCCTTGGGACCTTGGCCATTCCCACTCTTCAGCAAGAGATTATATAGGTCCAGTACATTGATGGCGTCATACTGGTAAAATCAGAGGAGTGGGAAGTAGTGAGCATCATAATGCTTAGGTAAGATACTTAACATGTTGGTTGTGAGACACTTGTGTATCAAAGAGTGGGAAACAAAGGCCTAAAATAAGCAAGGCTTTCTCATTTATACTTTAAGTACTTTTGGTCTCATCGGCCACTGTAGAATAAGATCACCAGATGTGTGTGGGCAGTGACCAGCATCATGCAGATACAACCTGACTGTGCCTCACCCTGGGCCTATGGCACCTGTCTTTTACTCCCCACCTTGGAGACTCTGACACTGTTGCCTGGCATCCATGCATATATAAGCTATTAAGGTGGGGAGTGATGGCTCCATAGAAAGTGACCCTGGATTAATCTAGTTGGGTACTCTTGCCTAGAACTTTGACTCTTAAAGGCCTGGCACAGAGATGCAGGGACAGCCAGAGATTATTTATATGGTAGTGGAAGTAAGAGTCCAGGAGTGTAATGATGATGTCCAGTGTTGGTATGTCCAGTGGTAGAGTCCAGAACAGTTCTTGCGGGATGATTTTGGCTGTGTCCTACTTGGCTACCTTTCTTGGTTCCTGACCATTTTTTCAACATTGTTTTTGAGTCTTCATGTTGATTCTCTGAGCTACTCAATAGCTTTCCAACAAGTAACTTTTCTTCTTGAGTAGTTTCTACTGATTGCCATGTTGAACCCTGACTCTAAAATAAGAGAGTTATACCAAATGACTTATACAGTGATTACCTCATCTTTTTTCACTCTATTATTATGTTGCTTCCATTGCATCAATGTGTATGCTTTTGTGAAGTTTTTGTAAATCAACAATATTTTGATAATAATTAACAATGAAATAAAAATTATGCTCTATTGGGCTTCCCTGGTGGCTCAGTTGGTAGAGAATCCACCTGTAATGTTGGAGACCTGGGTTTGATCCCTGGATTGGGAAGATCCCCTGGGGGAGGGCATGGCAACCCACTCCAGTATTCTTGCCTGGAGAATCCCCATGGACAGAGGAGCCTGGTGGGCTGCAGTCCATGGGGTCACAAAAAGTCGGACATGACTGAGTGACTAAGCACACACATTAGACTTAAGTTTTTAGTTATTCTTGGGGTCCTCTTTAGAAGATGAGTGTAAAGAGCAGAGAATTGAGTAAATATCAGTATGATTCTTAACCTTTATGAGGCTTTCTTACTGAATGTTTTGAAATAATTTTATTAAGGCCCAACTGGGTGATTTATTGTAAAGTGAATGGCATGACTTTTTATTGGATAGGCTAGTTCTGTAGGTTAATGAGCACAAAGGCGGAATGTAAAAATTTCCACAAATAAGTTTTGTGGACAAGAAAAATGTAAGGTTTTGTTACTGTTACTTTTGTTATATACTGTGAACTCAGTTTAAAACACATGGTGACTGAAGGATCTGATGTTTGCTGGTCATTTCTTATATGAAGGTAGTGTGAAGGATCTGGGGTGGATCTAAACTGCTCTAGCTGAAACAGGAGAAAGATTCAAGGAGACCCAGAGGAAAGATTCACAGCCAGGTACTGTAGCTGGAGAGTATGGAAAGTCTATGTGGGGAAAGGCAGAGAGAGAGATGACCCTATGGATATAGAAGGATATGTTTTGGAGAAATGGAGATTTTGGAGAAAAATACTTTGTGGGTGATATGAGCAATCTGTCTCCCATGAGAAATCATAAAGCCTATATTGCATACAGATGCTTGTGGATAGAAGTCTTTATTTTAAAGGAGATGAAGTATAGGGTAAAAGTAGAAATAATGTGCCCAGGCAGTTGACACCTAGATTACAGAAATCACTTTTGTAAAATCATCTATATATCATCTTTCACTGTTTTTAACTGAGGCTCAGTTGAGCTATAGTAAGATTTTGCTCAGGAGGTTCTTTTCTTTTTTTCCTCAAATTTTAAACTTTTTATTTTGTATCTGGGTATAGCCCATTAACAGTGTTGTGGTAGCTTCAGGCGAATAGCAAAGGGGCTCAGCCATACATATACATGCACCCATTTCCCCCTAAACTCCCCTTCTATCCAGGCTGGAATTTAACATTAAGAAGAGTTCCATGTGCTATACAATAGGTCCTTATTGGTTATCCATTTTGAATATAACAGTGTGTACATAACCTTCCCAAATTCCCTAACTATCCCTTCCCCTCGGAAACCATAAATTCTTTTTCTACGTCTGTAAGAGACACTTTTCTTAAGTTATATCTGTTTTCACACAGATTTGGCCTATTTCTACCAACCAGAGAATAGCATTTCCTGAGGTTCTACTGTGCACCAGCCACTAAGCCAGTTGTGTATCAAGGTTGGGAGGCAGCTCAGTGGGAGTTGCCTGCCTGGGTGAGAAGAAGCCAAAACCGGTTTGTCTAGGATTGTCTGTGAGTTGTGATAATAAAAAACAAGTCCTCTTTTATTATTGTTTTTAAATTCTCTACAAATAGCTGTGAAAAGAAGAGAAGCAAAAAGCAAAGGAGAAAAAGAAAGATAAACCCGTTTGAATGTGGAGTTCCAAAGAATAGCAAGGAGAGATAAGAAAGCTTTCTTCAGTGATCAGTGCAAAGAAATAGGGGAAAACAATAGGATGGGAAAGACTAGAGATCTCCTCAAGAAAATTAGAGATACCAAGGGAACATTTCAAGCAAAGATGGGCTCAATAAAGGACAGAAATGGTATGGACCTAACAGAAGCAGAAGATATTAAGAAGAGGTGGCAAGAAGACACAGAAGAACTGTACAAAAAAGATCTTCACGACCCAGATAATCATGATGGGGTGATCACTCACCTGGAGCCAGACATCCTGGAATGTGAAGTCAAGTGGGCCTTAG